AGAGTAGTATTAAACAAACTAACTAACTAGGACACAAAACTGTGGACAAAACATAAAGTTCCAAGAAATGTAGTTTATATATAGTTAAATTATAAGAGAGGGCCCTATAGAGAGAGAGCTTTTGACCCTTAGAATCTGTGAAAGGAGAGAAAGAGTCTTTTATTGTGTGGCCATTGATTGATACAAAGACTCCTCAACTATCTAAATGGCCAACTTTGACTCTTCTCTATCTCATTTCTCTCCCCATTCTTACTCCAAATATTAATACCTTCCAAAACAAGAAAAATATTCATTTTTCTGCCAAATGGGCAATGGCTCGTCATGGTCTCAACTATCCCCGACACATTGACATGACCAAGGTTCGATCCCGCTTCTTTCACTAAACGTGTCAAAAAAATAAAAAGTTTTTCTCTCGTGTGTTATGCATATTCCATTGAGACATGATTTGATGTTCTAATGTAAAAACATGACTTGGCAATAAAAAGAAAGTAAAACTTTTGTTTTGAAAAAAGCTGAACATGTTTTGATTCGTTCTCATATAGCTTCTGTTTTTATTTGAATTGAGACGTGATTCTACTCGCATAGGTTTTCGTTATCATCAGAATTCTAGAATAGAATGAAATGTGATAAAAAAAATATATGTTTATTCATCAAGATTCTCATTTCAGTCTCTCATCCCACGTTTTCCATTTTAGTGTTTCGTTTGTCCACGTCTATCTTTTAGACTTTTACGTACCCATGACTTAATATATAAGATTCTAAAGGAAAAGAATTGTTTTGACAAAAAGAAACAAAGAAAACTTTATATTGCAAACCGAATTTCATATACATAGAAACGGATAAATTCTAGAGCATATACGGTTGTAAGATAAATAAGCTGAAATTCCCAAAGTGATAGTGGATATCAAATCTTAACAAAATCATTGGACTACAGTCATTTGGATCAACAAACCTTCCCTTTTCCTCTAACAATATTTGTACTATAATATGATAAACAAATAATTAATGAGAATAATAGTTTAATGGTAGTAGTGTAAGAGAGTCCAAAAAACATAGGTTAGCCTAATAATTAATTAAATGACGATTTAGAATATATAGATTACGTCGCATGACACATGTGAAGAGGAGCACATGGACGCACAAATGGTTCGTTGGCCTCAATCTGCCCCGAGAAGTCGCGTCTCTTCTCTTCCTTTTTTTTTTGTGTATATAAATCTATTGGCAAGTGCCAATTTGCTTCTTGTTGTCAACTTAATTTTCCTTTTAACTAATGCTCGATTTTGTCTTGTTCATTTAGTAAATCTTGTTAATCAAGCAAAGCGTTTAGATTCCACTTTTTTTTTTTTTTTTTTCTGTTACAAAACAATAACCAAGTGGAAGTTTGTTAACGAGGATAATATTTGTATGGAAAATTAGATTTGTCATTAAAAAACATTCTGTAAAATGGACGAAGGAAAGACAAAATCCAAACAGTTGGTAAAATACTAAGTTGGTTTGACGTATAAATAGTAAAACAAATGATTATGTCTTTTTTGGTTCAGTGAACCACGAGAAAAATGTTGTGATTAATTGGTAAGTTTTGTTTGTGTGAAAGAGATATGTCGTTTTGAATTTTATTTTCCATAAACTTTATCAATCAACGAAAAGGTATGAAAAAAGACAACTAAAACAAATAGCAAGAGGCGATAGAATTTACAGCGGCAAGTTCGTTGAATTTTATTTTCTAGGCTACATACTCCTTTTTTATTGGTTGAAATTTGTATTTTTGTACTAGAATTAGAATTATGTGAAAACTTTTGATTATTTTTTTTGTTATAGGAGGACTCTCATACCAAAACTCATACTGATCTCAGGGACCCATAAAAACACTACTATTAAAATTTAAATTTAATTATATGAACTACTCTCGTTGTATTTACATGTTACCCTAATTAATGTGCATGAGGTTTTTATAACATTTTATTGGACACAAAACTTGTATTTCAAGCAAACACGAGTTTCTGTTTCATAAATTTCAATACATCTCAACCGACCTGTTGTACTTTTTTTCTTTTAATTTAACAAACAAATAAACATATGAAAACAAAGTTTTTAATTAAGTCTAATACAGTACTTGAGCTAGAAAAAAAAATCGAAGCTAATTGTGCAGCACGAGACGCAGCATAGCGTCAAAATGACAGTTGATCAGTTTGAAGCTGTATTGGAAATAACAAAGGAAAATAAAAACTGTGTTGTCCACGCTCACTAATAGCCAACTCCTGCATTAATATATTCAACTATTTATTTTTTTAATAAACAGAAACTAACTTTTTAATTAATTATGTTAAGCCGGTCAAAGGCATAGTTTTTTGTGGATGCGAATTTATTTATTTATTTATTGCTCCTTGGGCTCGATGACAGTTTTAAAGTATTCAGTAAACGAATTGATTGTGTTTATTTTTTATAGGTCAAAATGATCTGTTTATCGTAATCATGGAAGCGTGTTGCTACTATTGGTACAGTACAACTCATTATCATTGGATGAATAAAAAAACATAAAAACGGAAATTTAAAAAAAAAAGAAAAAAAAAACCAGAAAAATTCATTTGATATTCGATTAGTAATATTGGATACTCGAAAAATGACAACTAAGTTATGGAGTAAAATAATTTGTATGTATCTCATCGAAATAGATTATTGATTTCAGCCGATAACATTTACCTAGTAAACAAAAAGTTGGTTTTTTCATAAGAAATTTTTGTTTGACCAAAATAAACTATACTTGCACCGGAGTATCATTGGTTTGAAATAAAAAGCTTGTGCCTTCCACTTTCACGAGAAAATAAGTTTTTTTTAACGAGAAAATAAGTTAGTCAAAAATAGAAGTAGAATAAGTCTATTTAGGCTACCCACTTAGACCATCTCCAATGTATTTCCCTATTTTTAGCTCTATTTCTATAATACAGATAAGTTTTTTCTATTTATAGAATTGCTCTAAAATAGAGTTTAAAGGCAAATATAGAGGTGGGTTGGAGATGCTCTTAGCAGTAATCATGATGCATATATGTGTTGTGTGGCCTTCTGTTAGTGGAATTGGAATCTTTAAAGTTTTTAAAACGATTAATTAAAAGAAACAACTCATCAGATTCACTTCTCCATGATGGGTTATTATTATAGTTCTGACTTTACGAGAAATGGTTTATATTATAAGAGCATCTCCAACACCACTCTATTCCTCTAAGAGCATCTCCAACTCACCTCTATATTTGCCTCTAAACTCTATTTTATAGGCAAATTTGCTCCAACCCACCTCTATTCTCACCTCTAAAATAGAGATCTCTATTTTTTTCTCTATATATAGAGGTGAGAATAGAGAATCTCTATTTTTTCCTTTATAAATAGAGTTAAACTTTTTAGAGGAAAAAATAGAGAAATACATTAGAGTAAAAATAGAGAAAACTTATCTCTATTATAGAAATAGAGCTAAAAATAGGGAAATACATTGGAGATGGTCTAAATTTTAATATACAACAAAAAATTTTCCAACCCTACTCTATATTCTATTTTAAAATAGAGCAAAAGTGAAGATTGTTCTATATATAGAGCAATTCTATAATTTTCCTCTATCTTTTACACTACCTCTATTATAAAATTACTCTATTTTAGAACAAAAATATAGAGTTTTACATTGGAAATGGTGTAAGTAGGATGTTTTAGTACTTTATGATTATTTATATTTATAATTTTTTTTGTGATTGGTTAAATTTTTTAAAATTAAATAATTTTTAGTTTACAAAAATTTAATAAATTATCTTGTATTTTAAAAGAAAGAGAGTAATCTGTATTATTAAATTCTGGATTGCAATTTTTGTTGGATGTGAATATTGTTTCGTCTGGTCTAGGGTGATTCGATCAAATAATATAAAACTAGTAAATTTATAATAACTGGGAAACATGAAAATAATTGTTCGTCGGACTAATATTTATATAGTCCATGTACCTTCGAGAGCTTTGTACGCTTTAAATGTTTTGTTAAAACCATGCTTTTATAGAGTTTTATACTAAAAGGAAAATCTCAACTATACAAGTCATAGCATCCATATGATTCACATATATTTGATAAGATTCTGTTTTAAAAATACTACAATATACTTGTCAAGTTTTTTTTTTTTTTTTTTTAAATTTATTATTATTATTATTATTATTTTTTTTTTATATACTTGTCAAGTTGACCAAGTGGTTGAAGTAAACATCAAAATTTATTTATATAGTAGATGTTATCGAAATTTTGAAACATTGCAAATTTTTAGATTTAGGCTTTCGAAAGGTTCAACATGCTTTTGCTAATCAGTTTTATCATTCATTAATGTCATACACTCATACTATATATATGTATTAAACTTTACTATATGTCACTAGATAATACTCTTTCTACAGCACGAGATAATAACTTTTTTAAAAATATTGTTAAATTTTATTTAAAAACATGGTTGTAATATTGAAACTGATACTAATATTTCTATACTATTTTCTGTTAAATATGAATTTTTGTTAGACTATTATTTGTCACTAGTGTTTGACCCGTGCTCTGCACGGGCGAAAATAACATTAGTTTCTCAAAGATATATTGCAAGGTAAAAGAAAAATAATTTCATAGTCGGGATGAGAAACCTATTTATTGGGTAAATTAGAAGGAAACAAAATCTTTGAAATTTCAAAATTTTTTTTATTTCGAGAAAAGTTGCATGAAAACAGAATTAAAAAAAAATGAAGATGTGGAAGTTTGTTTTTTTTTTTTGTAGGGGAAGCAAGAGATCGTGGGTGGTGGTGGGGGGCGGGGGGAGAGGTGATGGAGAAAAGTCAATTTTGATTTTAATCGTAAATAAGTGTAAAAAAAGAAAAAAGTGAAAGTACATAATTTAAGACTTAAGACACATGGTTGAAGGATAAATGTGCAGTTATTAGAGAAATGACTTGTGATTTATTAAATAAGGATATGAACAAATTCAGTAAAAGATTACCTTCAAGTGGAGTAAGATTTTTGTGCCGAGTTAGAAATTTCGGTAGTATCGATCAAATATGTATGATTCGTTAACATACTCGGCTTGCAATATGCTGCAACTCTCATTGCCTGGAGTTCCCATTCAAAGCCACAACATGTATGTTCCTCTATATTTGAATCCCCACAAAGAAAATGAAAGAGAACTATAATAATTAATTGATAAAAAAGGAATAGATTGGGATTTGCTAAAGTAGGGTTGATTGCTCACCTTTGAATTAACTTAAGCACATGAGTAATATGATTGCCTTCAAAGTAACAACATGCTCAAAATCACGAACAATAAAATTGAAGTAAATAAAGTAATTGAGTATCCTGTGTAATAGAAACTAAAAATCACAGAATTTATCAACGAATTTTTTTTGTCGATTAACTACAGAGGTATATGATTTGAAGAATATTAGTGGGAAGTTAATTTGACAATAGTGAAATACAAAGAATGCCGATGAGAATATGTAGAGTTTTGGGTCTTACCATTACGATGGAGAGGATAATAGAAAATAAACAGATCATCCATTTAAATCAAAGTTATTATGCTCATGTTTTTGAGACAACTGCAAAACCCAAACAACAAAAAAGCAAAATTAGAAAGAGTCATGAAAAATCTGAAAGAAGAAACCTGAAATCTAAGAGAGAAACTCAAAGAGAACAAATCGAAGATATTGACTTTCCCTATTGAATTTATATTGCAAAAAAAAGAGGGTTAATTTCTTAGTCGGGATGAGAAACCTAAAATGGTGGCTCATGCCACTGAACAAATTAGGAAGAAACAAAATCTGAAATTTCAACTTTTTTTACCTGGAGAGAAGTTACAGGAAAATAAAATCGAAAGATGAAGAGAAGTGAATTTTTTTCTTTTTAGTAGAAACTATAAGTGGTTCTATTGTTAAAGAGAGGAAGCGAAGCAGAGATCGTGGGGGTGGGGGAGGAACCGTTGCTGAAAAAGTCAATTAATTGTTGTATTTTGATTTTAATCCGTAAATTAGTGTAAAGAAAAAGTGAAAGTGCATAATTTTATACTTAAGCCACGTGGCAGAAGAATAATGCTGCAGTTTTTAGAGAAGTGACTTGTGATTTATTAGATAAGGATATAGTATGCTATGTTATAACTTATACCCTTATTTTTATGGCACCGAAAAATGTACAAATTTACCATCTTTGTTATTTTTTATTTCAATATAAAATTTATTATTTGTAAAGAATATTTAAATTTCTACATTGAATATAGATTTGGATGAAATGATTTTTAAAAAAACTAAATATATATATATATATATATATATATATATATAAATATGGAGAAAAAATATTTCAATTCTATCTTTGTCACTTTTAAACTCCTTTTGAATAATAAATATATTAACAAAAACATTGGCGAACTGAAGATTATTTTTGCTAGACTTTAAAATGTTTTAAATTTTAAATAAAATATTTGTATTTTTTCTTTTTTATTTTGTCCAAGCTAGTGATGATTAATAAGAACTGTAAAAATATTATAATTCTTTACAGCTTTTCGTAATTTAAAGATGTTTTCTGCCAATTTACAACCTTTATTAGAAATTTTGTTACTTTCCGCCATTTTTACGCGTGTTAAACATAACATTCTAAGTTGCTTAACCTCTTCGGTCATGTGGTCAACCGCTAATCGAAAAATTTGTTAATTATTCTTAGCTCTGACCGCATCAAGTAAGTTAGTTAACCATATATATATCATCATCAAACTTATTAAACAAACAAATAAAATTTTGGTTATATCTCACTACACAAACGCTTCGACTTATGATAATCCTGATTATAACAAAAAAATGGTATAAACTTTGCAAAAGTATGTCTATATAGATTGTTGGAGATTGATGTATTTATCTTTTTAGTGACATTTTATTTTTGTTGATTAATAAATTTTATACTACGAAAAACATCTTTATTTATATCTAGCTAGGATATCTCTTTTCAAACTAACCCCTTAACAATTTTATAAGTTATGATACAAATGATATAAAAAAAACACTCTTCAACTACTTATAGACCTTGTTTGAAAAATCGCTAGGCGTTAGTCGGGCGCTCGGCATGGGCCTAGCGATTAATCGGAAAATCGGATTAAAATCGAGGATTAATCGGGGATTAGTTTTAGGGTTATTTTAATATTTTTAAAATATATTAATCCAATATTGTAAAAATTTATGATTTTTATTACAAATTTATGATTTTTATTAAAATTTGAACACAAGTTATTGTAAAACATCACAAACTCCCCATTCAAATGATTGAATAACAAAAATAAAAGGTTTTTTTATTCTTGCAATCTAAAAAATAATCGGGGTATATAAGATAAGGTGGAAAATAATCGGATTAGGCGGGAAGTAATCGGATTAGGCGGAGAATAATCGGGTTACTGATTTTTTAGGGGATTAGTCATTAATCGAGGCGGATAGGGTGGGCCTAGCGATTAAGCGGGGAGTAATCGGGGTTAGGCGGGGATTTTTAGAACAGGGCTTATAGATATTATTAACTAGTCACCTTATAAATAGTGTTAGCTTCACCATTTGTTCTACCTACCTAATATTTAAATGACATGTGGTTGGTGGCAAAATTGATACAGTATATTGCTTTTTGTTGGCAATATATGCTTCATAAATCCTTTAGTTTTTTATTTTTGACATATATCCGTTAATATTCATGTGTTTCATGTTATATCGTTTGGTTAACTTCGGGATGGTAGATACATGCCATTCGATTTATTCGTTACAAGTTTATATTCTACGTGATAATCAGAGTTGAATAATTCAAACGGTTTGTCGAAAACAAGTCGAAAGAATTCAATCATGAAAGAAAACCGAGTTTTACGATTCGATTTTTATTTTTAATAGCCAGCCATCAAAATAAATTCATTCAAAATTTGTGTCTCTGCTATAACAAAGCTAATAAATGTGTGTTATAGTCTTTTCCTTAAAACTAAATTGTTGCATGTAACCTAATATTTATACATCATTCCATTGTATGTACATATTTTTGAAAAATGTATCATTTAGTAAAGAAAAAAACAAACATATCCATTGATAAGAAGTTATATCTATTACTGAATGTTGATGTAGTAGTAAATATAAAAGTAAAAAATGTATATAAAAATTTAACCCAAAAAAGGAAAGAAAAACATATTACATACAGTATAAGGATTTATTCTGACCAGGATAAATCACTAGCCAAAAATCCTATAAAAAGTAAATATTTTTACTAAATAATGTGTATAATGAGCAAAAGAAAACCATACGTAAATGGTGGGAATCGATTTTTGACTTTGATCTTTAGGGCGAGTCCTCTACCTACTAGGCATTTCCATTTCGATTAGGTATATCTCTATATCCACATCGATTAGGTATATTCCTCATTTCCATTTCGAAATCCTACATTTTTTCCACCTCATTTAATTTATTTTATTTTGTTTCTTTTGTAAATTATAAATATCTATATTCCAAAAAACTACTACTTTGTAAGCGGGCATGATTGGCAAATCCTTCAGAGTCTTTACAAAGCAAAAAAATATCTAAAACATTTAAAATAGATCCAATCAAGTTTTAGAAGTTTTGATTTTTTTTTTCTCATAGCCAAAATATTTCTATAATTAATTTTTTTTGCTGTAGAAAGCTTTTTTTTTAAAGCATAAAATTTTAAACTTTCCAAAATTTTAAACTCTACAACAAAAATACTACAACTACGTAACAGACAGAAATTGATCGTAGTAAAAGAAACTACGTAATAAAAAATAGAAACAAAAGAAAAACACATATATTATTTTTAATTGATCGTATATATGGAAAATGTTGGCGATGAGTTATTTTAAACATTGTATGACATCCATATATAACAACTAATGAAAAAACGTAAATTGACAAGTAACATTAAAAGGGCGATCCTATAAAAAATCCTTACAATCAAGAATAGTATAAAAGACATCGACACGGTTAATATCAGTAAAATACAAAATCACAATTCAAAATTTTTTAGAAACAATTTTGCATTGTATTAACGACTATTGAGTAATGAATAATATATGCCCAAAATAATAATAATAATAATAATAATAATAATAATAATAATAATAATAATAGTGAATAGCATAAAAGACATATACAAAATGATTAATATATAGTCAAAATTCATTAAATTAATGAGTATTCAAAGTTTTTTTTGTTCAAAACCAAAAACCATCCATAGATTTCTAACCAAAAATATGTTAATTCTTGAAAATAGTCAACATTTTTTCTATTCACTTCTATTAAATCCAAGTTCAAACCGAATTGTATATGTAACTAATGTCGTAAGATTATTTTTTTTAATGAGTTATTACGGCTGGCCGCGTATAGAAATTAAAATACAAACTTGGTGCAGTTCAATTCAACAAATGAACAAATGAACAAATGATTCATCATCAATGTCGTCACGCTGTCAAATGATTCACTTTCTATTACTAATTTTTAACATTTATAACCAAAGCTTTGACTATGACAATCTCTGACTAATATTAGGGTTTTACCTTATTCTCTGTATCCTGCTATTATCCTTGTATATATATCCCTTTTTCTATTAATGAAAGACACAGTTCACAACACGTTATCAGCACATAAGCTCGAAAAAAAAAAAAAAAAAAAAAAAAAAAAAACCCTAACCCTAAACTTGACGAGCCCTAGCCGCCGAGCAAACAAAAGCCTTCGCCGTTTTCGTCCGTTTCCGATCTCATCTTTCACGTCGAGGTAAGTAACCTCAAGTTTAATATATAAAACGATCCACTCATACTTTCTAAACAGATCGTTCTTGCATGATTGTTTGTTTGGTTCATGTTTTGTTTATTTAATCGTTGCATAAGATTGTTTGAATATTATTATGTTCATAGTCTCATATAATATATTTTACTACTAAAAGCATCTAAGTCTACGTTTGATTCATGTAGTCAATATTGTCATGCTTAATTAATTAAGATACAAAACTGATCCATGCTTTCGATCGTTGTTTATCATTGCATTAGATCTGTTCATATAATATATTATTTTATTATTAAAAGCACCTAAGTCTATGTTATTGATCTTCCTAGTTATTATAGTCATGTTGTATTAATTAATTCTCATAAGAAAACAATATTACTTTGCACGTTTGATATGTCGGAGTCGTAGATTGATTGATACTCTACGTTTAACATATTTCAATTATTATTTAATTCATCACGTTATTGCTATAAATTTGATTCATAATTGAATTATGCTTAACTGTTCTAAGACCAAATATTATATATAGTATTTCATCTAATTATATTTGAGTATTGATCATTGCTAATTTGCCATTAAGAGTCGTAAGTCAATCGCTATTACTTACGTATTAAAATTGTTTATAATAATCTGT